CTGACTACACTCAGAGGAAAGGCAAGACGGATGTATAACCAGATTGTGACCGGTACCATCAGTATTGTAACTCTGCGCTGGCTGCTGAAGATGAGGACGGAGTGTTGTGAAGTCAATTCTTGACTCAACGCAACTCAACCCAAGTCATTCAATTCTATGTATCTTATTTCGCTCATGCATGTGTTTAAAAACACATTTAACCGTTCGTTAAGGCCAGTCACCCACAAGTAAGGTTGACTGTGCACCGCAAAAGTCGTATCACTCGCGACCCCAGTGCACCAATCCTTGCTAGTCAATGAACTGATTGATTGCTTGTGTCATTTCGAGGGACAGAGAGTGAGAGAAAACCAGATTAATTTTGGCTGTTCTAAAATGGGAAAATTCGCAACAGGTTAACCTTCATTTTTATGTAACAGAACGTTGTAGTCATCAGAGCCTGTCTTCTTCTTCGTCGTAATTTCTTTCAGGGGCCGCGTTAACGACTCGCTGCAGCCCAGGGCCGGTGTTCGAAACCGGACGGTTCCTGGAGTTCACTCAGCCTCTAGGAAATGGGTACCAGAGTTGACACTCTGGGGTAAATGGGGGAACGTCGCTGTAGCTACAGCGCATACTGCGTGTCGTTGTGTGACCATTTGGTGTTGACTGATCATTTCCCTCCATGTTTGATGGTGAGTTGCTATGGACTTCATGGTTGCTTGCCTCAAGGCCTATCTAGTCAGTCAGGTTTTGTAACCAAGTCTTTCTTGGTATGTCTCTTCTCCCCTTTCCCTCTACTAAGCCCTTCAGTATTGTCTTTGAGAGGCCGTTAGATCTTATACATTACATCTCCCCCCACCCTCCCCCCCGACACTTCGATGAGGTAAAAGGTGGAAAAGAAGAAGAAGAAGTTTAGATCTTATTACATGTCCGTAACATTGCATTGTCCGCTTTCTCACTGTATTTTAAAGAGGTTTATGCTTGTTTAGTTTACAATAATAATAATAATAATAATAATAATGATAATAATAAAAAATAATAATAATAACAACAACAACAACAACAACAACAACAACAACAACAATAATAATAATAATAATAATAATTACAAATATTTAAAAACGTGTCAAGATATAAGCTGTTATTTAAAACTCCTCACAAAATTAACGCAGGAAGCCATGGTGGCGTAGTTATGATCGCCTGCCGATCTAAAGGTAGAGGTTTCAAAACCGGACGGTGCTGGAAATTTTTCAAAAAATGACCTTGGTTCCGAGGTCGACCCAGTCTTAAACGGGTATCAGGAAGAGTCCTGTGAAGTAAAGGCAGCGGGCCTAACGATGACCAAATCACCCATCGAGTGCTGACTAGTCTATAAAATATAGGTCTAGCCCTATGTACCCAAAACGCCTGAAGGCGTTAAAAAGTATTTTACATTATTATTGCATTAAAAAAAAAAGAAATAATTTTTGCTAACAGTTCAATGGACATAAAAGATCGAATAATTGTTGACACAGTTTATTTACATATTTCTTTTAAAACAAATCAAAGTTTACAGGTAAAAAAAAAAAAAAAAAACCGACTAATATTAAGCTCAACAGTTTCAATTCTCGTGTCAAATCAGTACTGCTATATGGAGCAGGAAACATAGGAGAACAAATAAAACAAGTTATGAATAAACTACAAAAATTCATTAATTGGAACCTGCGCAGAGTAAAGGGAATCAAATGGTATGACAGAATCACTAAAGTTGAGCCGTGGGTGAGAACTAAACAAGTTCCAGTAGACCGAGAGCGGAAGAAATAGAGAATGACGTTTGACAAGCAAAACACGTTGAGAAAACCTGAGAACAACGTAACTTGAAAGTCTTTGCACTAGAAGTCCCAAGGACATAGAAATAAAGAGAGGGAGAGAGAGGGAGAGAGAGAGAGAGAGAGAGAGAGAGAGAGAGAGAGAGAGAGAGAGAGAGAGAGAGAGAGAGAGAGAGACAACACACACACACACACAGACACACACAGACATACACAGAGAGAGAGAGACACACACACACACTCACAACGTATAGAAGAGTGAGGTTAAAAAGATGGCGGATACATGGAAGGAGCTGCATTCATAGCATAATGATGGTGAGAACGGCTTGGTGTGAGTTAGATGAGGGCCTATGCTCCATTGGGAGGGTAAAAAAGTAAAGGTCCCTTTTCCGCGCCTTTAGGCGTATAGGGCATATAGGGCTAGACCTATATTTTTATAGACCAATCGGCACAAAATGGATGATGTGGTCAGCATCACGCCGGCTGCCTTTACTTCCCGGGACTGCCCCCGGTACCCAGTCAAGGCTCAAAGCTGGGTCGACTTGGGAGTCAAGGTCATGTTTGAAAAATGTTCGGCTCCGCTAGGGAGCAAACCCACGACCTTCCGATCCGCACGCGAGCGTCTAGCCGCTACGCCACGGCTATTCCCACCCTTGACAATAGTATGTGTATAATTATATATATATATCTATATATATATATATATATATATATATATATATATATATATATATATATATATATAAACTTATATTTACATATATTGACGCAGTATATGTATCTATAAAGAGTTAGCCACATGATTTTATTATTCATGATATAAAATTGCAGATCATTTTTTTTAAAGATAATTTTCCTGCCTCGTGAATTACAATTTTCCATGTATCCGTCTGTTAAACCTATACAAATGTATCATCAATGTACAAGGCATGCGTAAAGTATGTATCCTAAACACAAATCCCATCATCTCCACAAATGCTCGGTGCAGAGGTCCGAGATACTCAGCGTTTTTTTTAATTCTCTCTGTGTCATGCAGATGTGTTGGCGAACTAAAAGGCAGACAGACTGGCTGGTTCAAACCATGACCTACTTTTGTTCTAAAGTAAGATCAAACCACCCAGCACTTACTAGAACGACTAGACGCACATCCATTCGGGCATCTACTTCTAGAGTTGGGAACTCTGCGCTGGTTGCTGAAGGTGAGGGATGGGGCGCATATGGAATGTCCTGAAAACTATGATGTTTGTTATTCCTGACTGCTGTGACGTTTGTTTTTCCTGACTGCTATGATGTTTGTTCTTCCTGACTGCTATGATGTTTGTTCTTCCTGACTGCTATGATGTCTGTCCTTCCTGACTGCTATGATGTCTGTCCTTCCTAACTGCTATGATGTCTGTTCCTTCCTGACTGCTATGATGTCTGTCCTTCCTGACTGCTATGATGTCTGTCCTTCCTAACTGCTATGATGTCTGTCCTTCCTGACTGCTATGATGTCTGTTCTTTCTGACTGCTATGATGTCTGTCATTCCTGACTGCTATGATGTCTGTCATTCCTGACTGCTATGATGTCTGTTCTTCCTGACTGCTATAATGTCTGTTCCTAACTGGCTATGAGTCTGCTAAATTTCTGACTGCTATGATGTCTGTTCTTCGCTGACTGATATGATGTCTGTTCTTCCTGACTGCTATGATGTGTGTTCTTCATGTGCTATGATGTCTGTTTTTTTTTTTACCTTACTGCTATGAAGTCTGTTCGTCTGACTGCTTTGATGTCTGTTCTTCTGACTGCTATGATGTCTGTTCTTCCTGACTGCTATGATGTCTGTTCTTCCTAACTGATATGATGTCTGTTCTTCTGACTGCTATGATGTCTGTTTTTTCTAACTGCTATGATGTCTGTCCTTCTAACTGCTATGATGTTTGTCCTTCTTAACTGCTATGATGTCTGTTCCTCCTAACTGCTATGATGTCTGTTCTTCCTAAATGCTATGATGTCTGTTCTTCATAACTGCTATGATGTCTGTTCTTCCTGACTGCTATGATGTCTGTTCTTCCTAACTGCTATGATGTCTGTTCTTCTGACTGCTATGATGTCTGTTTTTTCTAACTGCTATGATGTCTGTCCTTCTAACTGCTATGATGTTTGTCCTTCTTAACTGCTATGATGTCTGTTCCTCCTAACTGCTATGATGTCTGTTCTTCCTAAATGCTATGATGTCTGTTCTTCCTAACTGCTATGATGTCTGTTCTTCCTAACTGCTATGATGTCTGTTCTTCCTAACTGCTATGATGTCTGTTCTTCCTAACTGCTATGATATATGTCCTTTTTCATCCCAGTCAACCTCAGCTATAGCCTTTCAGTCCGGAAAACATACAGCTTTTCTGTGGGCCACGGTTTTGTGATGATTTTGTTACATGACCAAGCCATCTGTCTTACTGGTTCAGGTAAATACATTTTACATCTCTGTTAGTGCACTGACATCATTCTTTAAGTCCATATACATGATCTCCGTAATGTTTTTTTTTTTACACAGTGTGACGGATGACAGTATATTCACACAGTGTGACGGGCCACAATTCACATTTACATAGTGTGACAGACCACAATATACATTTACACAGTGTGATGGACCACAATATACATTTACACAGTGTGACGAACCACAATATACATTTACACAGTGTGACGAACCACAATATACATTTACACAGTGTGACGGACTACAAATACATTCACACAGTGTGACGGGCCACAACACACATTTACATAGTGTGACGGACCACAATAAACATTCACACAGTGTGACGGACCACAATATACATTCACACAGTTTGACGGACCACAATATACATTCACACAGTGTGACGGACCACAATATACATTCACACGGTGTGACGGACCACAATATACATTCACACAGTGTGTCGGACCACAATATACATTCACACAATGTGACGGACAACAATATAAATTCACACAGTGTGACGGACCACAATATACATTCACACAGTGTGACGGACTACAATATAAATTCACACAGTGTGACGAACCACAATATACATTCACACAGTGTGACGGACTACAATATACATTCAAACCGTGAGACGAACCACGGCATACATTCAGTTGATCCTCAACTTGAGAAATATTTGTTTAACTCAAGATATGACGCCACAATTAGCGGCAAATTAACATCGTCCGTGGACTGTTGGAATTCATACTGCCTGTTCGTCAACAGAGGGCTCCCGGCATCCGTTTCTACACAAGCTTCGAGCTTCCGCGGTCACACAGCTGTCGTAGAACTGCATCCGGGTGCTGGGTAACGGCAGGATCTGAATGTCCTCAAAGTGCTGCAGAATCTCCCGGGTGTTGTTGCTGCTTCCACTGCCAGAACCCAGCTGTTTTGAGCTGTCTGCGTGTCTGAACCTGCTTCTTTTGTTGGCCAGAAAATCTGCTGGCGTCTCGCTGGTGTGCTGGGAAGGTGCTCGCGATTTCCTACGCCCTAAGTAAAAGAAAGATATGCCAATCATTAAATACACACAGACTGAAATGGTTCAGCAAAACGCTATTATGTAATTTGTTTTCTTAGAAAGGATTTGGGGCTTTTGTTCTCTGTTGTCAAATGGAGCTGGGCAATTATCTTGAGGAGCATTAAAAAAATTACAGATAATAGGGAATTATGATGTGAAGACAACACACTGGCGCGAAACGGGTGTTTACATTTTTCATATACCATAGACCATTATGACTTAAAGGCTTGATTGTTTGAATGAACGATTAATTAATTCAATAAAAAATTAATTAATGAAATAATTAATTAATGTCTTCTTCTTTTTTTTTTCCAATGGGTATAAGCTTACGCAAAAATTCCTGTTTGTTCGTCCATTTGGAATTTGGCTTCGTGTTGGGGATTTTACGTTTGCGTGTACATTACAGGCTTATCTGTGTGCAGTTGGTTGTTTCTTGCTGCTCGGGTAGATGGAGTCCGATTTATTGTGAAGGAAAGCCCCCAATATGTCGGCACCTACGACATGCTTGTTGTGGAGGCAGATGGGTCCATTCTGTTTTCCACACAACTGGATCCCAGAACCCACAAGGGGAGAATGAATATAATTTAAAAAAAAAAACTAAACTTGGCTGGCGAAATCTAAGTCACGGGTAGTGAGCATACTTTGGATCTTTTCTCCAGGCGATGCCGGCGTAGTGGGTAATGAACAGGCAGACAGATTGGCTCGATCTGCACCACTGAGCAACCAGATTATCATGGCCTGGAGAGAATGAGGCACATGGGTGTAACCAGAGGGTCTGGCAGGCTCACTACACTCAGAGGAAAGGTAAGACGGACATATAACCAGATTGTGACCGGTACCATCAGTTCTGGAACTCTGCTCTGGCTGCTGAAGATGAGGACGAAGCACGCATGAAAATACCCAAAGTGCTGTGATGTTTCTTAACTCAAGTCAACTCAACAACTCAACTGGCGTAATCTACTTACAGCAGGTAAGGTACTTCTGAAAAGCTCTCTTGAACTTGACCGACATGATGTTGTAAAGTACAGGATTAATGGCACAGTTCACGTACACCATAGTCCTGGCAAAGAGCAAAAACCACAAGTCCATGTACTTCTTTTGGGCAAAGCTGTTGTAGACCACCATCACACGGTACGGCATCCACAGGCTGGCAAAGGTGACCACCACCACAACTAGCATCCGGACCACCTGCGGTGGAGAATAACGGGTATGGATTAATCAGGATTAATTGTTTATTTATGTGGATTTGAGGTTTGAAGTTTTAAACAACGGATCGATATCATGGCACACGGGTAGTAACCCATAAGCTCCGTTCTTTCTTCTAACTAAAGTCTGAGTTCGTAGAAGCTCAGCACAGTGCACAGGCTCTGTAGCACCAGCGAGGATCCTAAAATGCTTTGGGTAGATTTTTAACTCCAAATTTAGCTCGGGCAGTACCGTTAGGCTACTCCTTTCGATTTCCAACTGTCAAGGGATTTTTTACGTGCGAAACAATACACACGGGCGTCCGATCTCACTACCAAGAGACCAGGGGGAATTACTACAGGTCCAAGTCCACGTTAAAAAATACCAGCCCTTACCGGGGATTGAACCCGGAACCTCTAGCACTCGAGACGGACGTCATGCCTCGAGACTACGCAGTCGCGCTTATATATGTGGATCGCCCGGCTCTCTAGCGTAGTTGGTTAAACCTGACTTTCGCGGCGGCCGGGTGATGCAACAGACTTGAGTTAGATGAAAAAACGAGACACTTATGGGTTACTAACCTTGTGCCCTGAGGTCGATCCCTTGTTCAAAACCAAAACCAAACCAAATTGCAAAGTACGTAAAAATTTCATTTTTAGCGTAAATATTTTCCTTTTTTTTTTTTTCTGAGCACAGTTTCCGGGTTTGACACTGATCGCATAGCGAACACAGTCTTTAGGAGAAAAAAAGTTAGTTGCGTAACCTTTACCGAAAGTTGCACAGCCAACGCCAGCATTTTTTGGCTGCTGTAGTTTTTCTAGGCAAATTTACATCCAGTAGTTTGCCATGTTTTCTGGACAGTCGGCTTCTTGATACCACTGTCGAAACCAAGGCTCGTAGCTAGGATCGAACCCGGCACCCCGGCATTAGAAAGCGCGTCCGCAACGTCTTAGCCACAGACGCCGTAGTCTTTAGAAAATAGTAATGACACACACACACA